AGAGCCCATCAGAAACAACACTCCTCAGTGACATCTTCCTATCCTTAATGAATTAGTTTTGGTTGTTTTCACTATAAAATGTATATTGACATTTCATTTGACATCTTTAGTCATACAGTTTTTCCTTAGAATAATTCTGAGTAATGACTTACAAAGCCCTCTTTGAAAAAGCTTGTTGGATTTGATGCTCATTTATTGCACAAACCAGACTACTAGTGTGCACATCATGTTCTTCTTGATGTCCTTCACTCTCTCCAGTGTACTTAACACTTACAAGCTAGAAACTGGAAGTTATTACTGGAAATAGAAATACTGTTATTAATGTATGTCATGAGTGTTTTTGGTGTTTTGGACTGAAATGAGCTTGGAAAGAAAGCATTCAGAATCTGATGAAAAAGTCCTTACAGCTGCCAGTAAATTAATGTGAAGATGAAGTATATTTGTGCAACATTAAAGAGCTTTTGCCAGTGTTGTTAAAGTTGACTAAAGCAAATGGTTAGAGTATGCACTTGAAGGAAGTGGCTGTTGTTAGAGGGCTGTACTTGGAAATCTCATCTGAAAATGAGTGTCCCTTCACATTGGGTGCTGTATAAACATGCAGTAACACAGTCTTTGCTACAAAGAACACACTGCCTCAACATAAACATCGCATCCTACCCCAAAGTAACCACTGCTGCTTGTCCTCCATTTCCTAGTATTTCACCCATGAAGTGAGGCTGAGACTTCAGGGCAGGAGTGTAAATTAGTTATATTTTAATCATGTATAATGCTGGTTTTTATTTGACTGAAAAATGCATTTAAAGCATTGCCGCAAGATCTATGATCTTTGAGTAGAAAGAAGAACACGTCTTTCTTCCTGTCAGTTAGAGAAGGAACATTCTCTGAATTACTCTCAAGTATCCTTCAACTTTATCGGATACTCTTGGGACTCTTCACCAGGGATTGTAGCAATAGGACAAGGGGTAATGGGTTTGAACTTAAACAGGGGAAGTTCAGGATAGATATAAGGAAGAAGTTCTTTACTGTGAGGGTGGTGAGGCACTGGAATGGGTTGCCCAAGGAAGTGGTAAATGGTCCATCCCTGGCAGTGTTCAAGGCCAGCTTGAGCAGAGCTTGGGCGCCATGGTCTAGTGTGGGGTGTCCCTGCCCATTGCAGGGGATTGAAGCTAGATGATCTTAAGGTCGTTTCCAACCCCAATCATTCTATGATTCTATACCTGTGCCAGTGTCTCTGGACTCCTCTTTCTGTCATTTTCCAGTAAATTGAAGAATATTACTAATCACTTTGATTTTGATTCTTGTCATGGAATTGCTTTTTTCAGCTCTACTGTGGAATTTTTTTAAATATCTGTGCAGCAGTTTTCAGGCAGTAGTTGGCAAGTTGATCGTTGGTTTCAAATAACGGTTATTCTCACTCTTCAATTCATAGTGGTTTAGCAGTAGAGCAGTAGGCAATTATTGGATAATTGTGCAAGCTGTTTTGTCCTTTTATGCTGCATGGAAGTTAGAAATTGGGCAGAAGATCCATCTTTACTGCTCTCTGGTTGCTGTGGAGAAAGATCAGCTCTCTCCTGTACTATAAGAGGCTTTTTGTGAACATCTGTAGATGTTTTTAATTCCTCAACTGACTGTTTCGGTGGAAAGGAGGAATGGTTTTGACCTAACTGACAGCAAGAACAAGAAAATCCTTAAATTTGTGAAACAAGGCACAACTGAGGCGTCATTAATTGTGATGAGGTTTGACAATTGTTACAAGCATGTGTCAACAAATATGATGTGGGGAGGGGGTTGTGTTTAAAAATGTTACTGCTAAAATAGCCCTATGGAGTTTGAAAGAAGTCAAAGTCCCAGCTTGAATATCAGTGCTTCTTGTTAAAGACGAGGTATGTTATTCTGTCTTGATCTTGTAGCTCTTGCAAGAGCTCTTTTCGAAGAGTTTTGGTTTTTGTAGTTTTTGGGTTTTTTTTTTAGTTTATATTCTAAAATTATTATTATTTTTTAAAATGCATTTTCTCTCTAATAACTGTAGTCGTTGAAAAGTAAGACTAAAGGTATATGAATAGGAAATGCTGCTCAATGCACCTTGCTCACTAATCTTGTCAGACAAAGCAGGAAGCATGTGTCATAACACTGTTTCTGTGGTAGAGTGGGGGGCCAAAAGAGGCTACAGGGTGGGAGACAAGTAATGCTAGCATCTTGCAGCTTAGAAAAAGTGAATTCCATGGAAGAAACATACAATGGTGTGGCAAAATGGGCAGAAAACCCTAAATCTCTGTCTGCAGGCTCATTGTCTGCACAGGTTCTTGAGTGTTACCTATGAAGCATCTTGCATCTTAAAACTGTTGGTTTAGGCTCTGTGTATGATCAGGTAGGCTTCAGTGCTTCTGCTTATGTTTGAGTAATCTTCTTCCAAAGCCTGTTTCAGCAGCAGTAAGAACTAAACTGCTGTCTTAAATAAATAAATAAATAAATACACCCCCCCACCAAAGGTTTTAAAAAACTCTCACAAAACAAACCAAAACCCAAACAAACCAACCAACCAACCAAAAATTCCACGTCAGCTTTAATTCATCCAATGTGTTTTATTGAGGCCACAGGCATTCACTGCAGTTTACAGCTTTGAATATATTTTTCCTTATGATCAGAGAAGAATCATTAAAAATGAGCAAATAAAGAAATACAAAGACAGGGTAATCTCCAAAGAGTTCATATGGATCATTGGCATAAGAGAGAGTAAAATGCCATATTCCTGTATCGCATTTGGTGCTCCACCCACTAGGCCACTGTTCTTCCTGTGAGGTGCTTTATAGTCCATGTTGTTGTTCTGAGTGCTTCTCATGCCTTGCTGGAGCTAGTAAGCAAAACTTTATGCAGTTATGTTGCTACTTCTCAGTGGATTGTAGGCTGTGTGGGCCTGTATGATTAATTTGTGCCATCTAGTTAGGAATTATTTATATCAATAAAATTCCCTCACTGCTTTGGCTGCTTGTCTGAATGAGGCAATGCCTTCTGTGCTGTGAAGTAGAAGGATTCTACTGCTTGGCTTCAATGATTGGCTTTTGACATTAAAGTATAGCTGATAAGAGGAAGCTTAGCCTGAAATCTGAATTAGTGCATAAGAATTCCACATACTAAGAGTTAGTTTCATAAGAGAAATAGTCTTTTCTGTATTTCTTTTTAACGTGGGCTTTAATAAACCATTAAAGAAATTTTTTAAGATGCTGCCTGTGTTGGAAGGTTGAGATTTCTAGCTGTTCAAATAAAATGTTTTGCCAAAACTTCCTCTTGATGTTGAAAATCCTTGTAGCAGTCAGTGACCTTTTTCTATTTTTCTTTTGCTTTATGTAAAGAATTGATGCCTCAAACACTTTTTTTTTCCAAAGAAATAACTTTGTTTTTACAAATGCATGGCATAAATTACATTTAAATTTTTAAGAGACTAGAATAAATATCTTTAAAAGTTTTATTATAAACTTTCTATTGACTTTTGAAGAGGTCATGCAAATGGAAAACTTATGTAGATAGCTTAATGCAGTTAATGATATAATGGTTTGCATTTTATGTAGCTATTCCAAACACTGAAACTGTGAATTTGTGCTCATGTTTTATTCTTACACTTGGGACAAAGTGTGCCTGTGAACCGCAGTGGCTGTATGACCGGTCTTGCACCAAAATAGTGGACTGAACTTTTAAATTGCTAGAATACATACAGCAGGTTTTGTAGTAGCTTAATGTGTCAAAGTGGTATTTAACCCACACCTACGTTAATCATTGCTGAATAACCAGTGATGATAATTAGCATTATCCCTGTAAAATTTTTATTCTTATGTGCATGTAACTTTGCATTACACACTGCTCTCTATATGTAACTTTGATGTGTTGCTCTCATAAGCTGTTGTTATGACCTGTGCCTGGGGACAGGTAAAAAATTCAGTGTTTGTTTTCTTACGCACGTGCTAAATTATAACTACTCCTGGTGAAGCTTGTCATTCCAGGCCTTTCAGGTTTTGTTCTCCTCCACTAGAGAGTCTCAGCTTTAAGAGGATCAGTATTTTGGGATCTTTTCTTTTTGTTGTTGTTTTGGTTTTGTTTTTAATTTTGTATATAAAACTGGAGCTGCTTATTGGAGCAGGTTTTATGACTTTGGGAAAGCACATTACAGTTTGGTTTGAGGAATGCATCATGCAGCTTTGGGGAATGTGTAGTCTTTGTTCTTTGTGGGTGTTCTGCTCACATCTGACGAAGTTATGAGGCGTTTGAAAGTTGTATTTTGCCCATACTCACAATGTTATAAGAGCTTGACATAAGTTTTCCAAGGGTATGCAAGTATACCACTCCCAGATGTTAAAGTTACTGTATGTAATGTTTGCCAACAAAATAACCACTTGCTTAAGTGCTTGGTTTTTGTGGAAGCTTTTAAGATGGCCATGTCCAGTTCTGGATTTGTTCCCGCTCACTTGCTCTTTGAATGGCTCTTTGCTTTCTAGGAAGCTTGATAATTTTTGTGCTCTATTTCAAGGCAAAATATGTATCTTCAGTTCTTCATGTATCTCAGTGTGGGGATACAGTGGAGCTGTATGTCCGCTCCACATTGGTCTGTGTGGATAAAGGTGGGAGATGTAATTCGGAAAAGGCTAAATCTTAAATTCTGGCTTTGTTTACTTCAGCAAGTATTGCAGTACAGGAGGAGTGTTTCTGTGGAATGAAGTGGTGGGCACTGAGGATCCAGTGTTGATGCTATAATAACTTGGGGAAATACTACTTTTGCCTGGGTCAGCCTGTAGGCTAAATGTCCACTTACCTTTGGAGCAGACCTTCTAGTTCAGTTTAGCCTGAAAGAAGTCAGGTTTGTGTATTTGGACACCACTGTGCAATGCACGCCAAAGGATCTGAAGTGTGGACAACTGCGGAGGCTTGCTTCAGAAGCCCTCACCTAATCTGAACTAAAAGTCTGTGTAGATGCATGCGTTGTCTGGCTGCTGGAGTTGGAAGTGTGTGAGATGGAATTTGGGAACCCACAGTCCGTTCCTCTTTCTACCACCTATGGTATTCACATAGGATTAATCCTATTTCTGTGTGGAAATGAGTGTATTTTTCTGGTAGCTGAAGTGGTAGAAATCTGTGCTTTTGAACTGAAAGTCACAGGTAAGTGCAAACTGATAAGCTTTGACTTTGTGGTGGAAATGTTATGGTTTCCATTTCTTTCTAAAATGTAAGAAATCAGATATTCAAAATGTTTACCAAGTAAATATATCACCTGGGATAGCAGATGCTCAAAAGTCAGAAAGTGTCAGATAGAGATTACCTCTGTGACTGTAACATGGCCCTGTAGTAGTCACGAACTCTTCCACATGAGCTCCTTTCCTTATTCAAAATATAAATTGCTAGTAAACCAGATCTGAAGTGACCTGGAGAAAAAAATATAATGAAAATATGTCATAGTGATGATCAATTTGCTTTCATTTTGAGATACTTTGGGCCTGATTTATAGCCATGCTGAATATTTACGGTAGCAGCCAAAGTTACATTTTCAAAGCACAGTTCGAGTTAAAGTTCTGTTAAAAGTACTGACTGAAAAACTAGGCACTGAAGTGTCTGAAATTTGGCATCCAAAGTTAGTGGGCATTTATTTTACCCTTTGGACTTTCATCATTGCATGCCAGCCACCCACCTTTAGAACAGGAATGGGAATACTGATCTTGCAAAGTTTACATTTATTGTATACAGTCTTCCCACGCTATGGACAGATCTGCATAAACATGTCTATGGGGAAATGTAAGGGTTTTGTATTCAGTGTAGGATGCAGATGGTAAGCATTTAATGGGTCATAGGATGAGGGTAAAAACTGGGCAATTGTCCATTTACTGAATGAATCAGAAATCCTGCTGGGGAAAATGGAATAAAGCAGCCGAAAGAATATTATTGGAAGTAGGTATATATAAAGGCTAAACCAAAAGTTGCATGGCTTTCAAATCTGAACTGCTGCATAGTTTGGTTTTACATAGCTGTATTTAAAGCTTTGGGAGGATTTGATGTGATACAAGTCTGCAAAACTATTGGTGCTTTGTAATCTGCATTTTGGTGCGCTGTGAGGCAAGCGTAAGGATTGCATTGGTAAGAGAAGAGAGGGAATGCAGGGTGGTATGTGAGCATTGTGATGATGTCTTTTATGTTTCCAATTACACATATGTTTGTGCAGTTTTTGGGAGGAGCAGTTTAAAAATACCCACTGGTGGTTTTGGAGTCACTTACAAGGAAGGCTTTCAGAACAAGATTGTGCTGCTTCAGACATTTAGTTGTGTGTTCAAAACACATCACAAATTGATGTCTCTGGAAGTTCTGCTGTGGGGCTGGTCTAAAGGTGTTCTCTTTGCATGGTTTATATGAGGATTTTCCATGTTCCTAAGCCTGCAGGCTCATCCTGAGTTTTGAAATTCAAGATTTGTTGTTTTGCTTGTGTCTGCTCCTGTAGAGATGATAGTACAGATCAGAAAAGCCAAGCACTTCTACCCTTTGCCATGGTATCAGAAGGACCCACGTGATGAGTTTTCTTCTTCCCTGGGTCTTGCTAGCTTGCTTTGAGGGCTCATGTGAAAAAGGGCATTATGAGACATCAGTTGATAAAGCAGCCAAATAATTGATGTCTGGACATTGCTGGTTTTACTGAATGCTAACTTGTCTGCTTATGGACAGGTCTTCACGCCCATTTCTGCCCTCTGTCTCTTAACCTCAGCTTTATTGCATATCCGTCCCAGGTTTTTTGCTTTTCCTCCCCCTTCTAAGTCTGTCTAGGGTGCACAAATATGCTCTGTGATATACATAGACTAATTTCTGCAATAACTATCCAAAACAAATGTTGATAGTGAATGCATAGTTAATTATTTTGGCTTTAATTTTTTCTTTCTTGACCTCTTTTTTAAAAAACATTATTAGTTACTTTCCATTTCAGTGGTTCATTAAACTTGACTTTTTTGTATGAGACCTTCCCACTAAATCCACTCATCTTGAGTTACAAACCTGGCTTTGTTTCATTTGCATCATTGCTCATAAAGGAGAGAAAACAGGTCAAGTTATGCCCTGAAAGAATATTGCCTCATTTATTTAGGATTTTTCAAACACAGTTAAAAGCATAATGGAAATGTGGGAGAAAGATAATGGATAGCAAAGTGTACATGATGGTTTAGTTTAGGGAACTGCTCCTGTTAAAAAGCACAGCCCTGCCTTCTGAGCTTCTTTTCCTGAGCTTCTTTCCCTGAGCTTCTTTCCCTGGTAGCACTTGCTCATGTAACTTGGCCTTATGGAAGGTTTTAGGGTGGTTTAGAACAAGGGAAACTATCCTTGGATTTGCAAATGGGGAATCTATGTTATGGTTACAAAGATGAGACTTCTGTAGGTGGTTGGTGTTATTTAGCTTCTACTTTAAATATAACCATGTTTGTATACTCTCACCCTTACCTGTTATTGCCTGAAACTTGGCTGAAAAATGCTGAAGGAATGGACTAGCTGAATTGTAGTACTGGAGGTGTGCACCGTGTTGCTGCAACCATTAGTGTCTGCTGTTATGAGCATGTCAGTATTGTCATTGTACCCTGTGGTATTAAGATTAAGTATACATTTCAGCTAAGCGATATCGAACAGGCATAAATACTGTTGTGCTAAGGGCTAGCCAAGCATGTGCAAGCTTCTTGTACTGAAGCGCTTATGACCTGAAGCGGTGGTCCCCAAGCTGTTACTTGCAATGACATGGGATGCTGCTATTAGACACAGAAAATTGTTGGGCAGTTTTCTATGGAAGATAAAAATCCATGGAGGGGGGAGATTTTCTTTTCTAAATAAAGGAATTCATCTGGCTTTTTGTAGCTTAAGCCAGTTTGGGTAGTGGTTGCTGTATTTGAGAAAGTTATTTCTTTATCATGCCCTTACTGTTAAATTTTTTTTTAGGCTACAGAGTGGTTCTTTTACTGACTGGTTGGGTGGGTTTTTTTGGGTTTATTTGTTTATTTTTATTTGTAAATCTGTTTTTGCTTTCAGTGCCCTAATATCTTTAAATATTTAGCATACAGGAGATTTTCTGTCTTCTAGAATAAATGGCCTGAAGGGAGGAGGAATTTCTGAAACTATTGTACTTGAAAGTGCAAGCAAGCTGCTTATCTGATTATGTACCACCGAAGTGCACTTCATTGAACTCTGCGTCTGGCCACTAAAGTGATGTGCCAGTGATTAGTGTAGCTGATATTTATTTCCAAGTCATACTCACTTAAAAAAACAAACAAAAAAGGCAAACCACCAAATAAAAACCCTACTTGTATCTTCACATTACTGGGAGAGTAAAAATTATTCCATGGGTGGTAGAGTGGTTTGATATATAGAAATTTTGCAGGAAAATACTTCCTTTGTTTGTTTCCCTTGATTCATGCACAGATTGCCTCTACAGGTTTGATGTATCATTTCTTCTTAGCTGCTCAGGGGAGCAGATATCTGTGCTTTAGGGGGAGAAGGGATCCCAGGAGAAGCTCTTTGAGGCTGACATGCTGTGGTAAGAACCATGGCAGAGTCAAAGGTTCTGCAAATTGTTAATAGTGTGCAGATATTCTTATTCAATTTTATACACAAGTGTGAGAAATGTTTTTCTTTTCTCTCTTACGCAGGTCAACTTTGTAGTGTGCCAACTGTTTGCCTTGCTTGCGGCTGTTTGGTTTCGAACGTACCTTCATTCAAGCAAAACTAGCCCATTTATAAGACATGTTGTTGCAACTCTCTTGGGCCTTTATCTTGCACTTTTTTGTTTTGGATGGTAAGTTGCAATTAAATTCCATTTTGAGGGACTTGTAAATTTTCATTTCTTGTTTGCAGAGAAGCAAAGTTTTGTTATGAAGAACCTTATTACCTAATTCTGTGGGGTTTAGCTGCTGGAAATGTACAGAAATTAGCTTAAATTTTCTGATGTGGTGCACAAATTTTGAAAGATGTTCCATTTGCAAACTGGTAACTAACATATCGTCTACCTGTGGTTTTGGGAGGACGGAGTGGGTGCAGTTTGTTTAACTTGTACCAGTTTTTCTGTAAACTTGCTTGAGAAGTATTCTCTTGAGGCACAGGTGTGATGACTAAGATAATGTCTCTTAAATATTCACTGCATGAGATAACTCACTGTGTCTTTTTCTGAATATTGAATATAATCTGACTTGTGTAGGTAGAGTTGCCAGAACTGCAATGTACCTATGATGCTCCTACTTGTATAAAACACCTGGAAAGGAGCTGGCTTAGATTTGAGAGTTGTTTCTGTGTGGGTTTTTCTTTTATGTTTTAGAGGGAGGGTGTGCTGGTTTTTTTGGTTTGGTTTGTTGGGGTTTTTTTTTTTTTCTTTTTCTAAATGCAAGTTTTCTGTTTTCACATCTTGATCTTCTCACAGGGTAGCAAGCCAGAATGTTAGTAGGGCTGGTAAAGGGTATACATATATAGTAAAGTGTATACATTTAGTTTGATGAATTTATTTTTTCCTTAAAAATTAGCTTACTAAATGGCTCTCATGTCCCCAAGATGGTTTAAGATTAATTGCCAGTTTTGTTTTATTGCATTGTAAACAAAGTGCTTGCTTAGCTTTAAGTGTACAGAAGACTTATTTTTACTGACTATTGTAAGTATTACTGCACCAGGGGGACTTAAGCTGTTGTGCAGGTGGATTTACATGTGCAATTCACTTGTTTATGTAATTCCATTAACTCCCATGCATTACTTAAACTTTTGGCTGTGGTATTGTGCTTTGAGACAGCAATCTGATGTCAAAGACTTCCAGTTTTAGCACCAAATGAGGAGGATGATATGGGAGATAGGTGCTACTGTGTGTGGTTTTTGTGACAGCTGTGTAAACTGCAGAAGCACATTCTGTATCCATTCCTTTTGAAACAGAAATCATTAATTGTAAGTTTTAATTAGATAACATTAACAATATATTCATATCTGAAATTTGGGGATGGGGGACTTTGGAAAGATACAACTGCCACCCCCAACGGATATAAATAAAGATTTGTAGAAGCCTCTTATTGGCAGTATGCCCTGGAAAAGAAATCAGAGAGAGATATTATGTGATAGTAGGAATCCAGATTATTCTAGTTTGCTTTGGATCATACTTAAAGCAATTATTTTAGCAATGAATTTGTATTTTACTTGAAGTTTGGGATTTTTTTTTTCCCTTAGAATCATGGAACTAAAAGCTCTTTAAAAATGTAGATGAACATAATTTGAGATGTTAAAAGTATGCATTCTTTAAAAAAGCTGATACAAGTGATATTTGCATTTGTGTCAACTTTTTTCCTATTGCTTAAGTATGTATTATACGAGCATGTTCTTGAAGGTTTTCTTTTGTTTGGTTCCCCTCACCCCTCCCCAAGGAATCAAGTACATGTACAGGTTACTGTCCTGTGATACACCTTCAATGACTCTTCAATTGTGTTATAATGTGTTGAGTACAAGAGGGGAAACTGTTACAGAGGTTTTTTATATAGTAAGTTTATAGTAAAGGTAGATTTGTAGATCATCTCACCCATACCTAAATGTAGGTAATAGTTTGAAATCTGCAACCTTTTATTAGTCATTATGTTGTCTTCAATTTCAGTTGTGTTACTGTTCAGTCACCTTTGTAGTGCTTGTGATGGTGGGACAAAAAAGGAAGGGATAGTTCCTTGGGATAATAGCAAATAGTATAAAAGGCCTAGAATACCCTTTGTGTATAGCTAAAATTTACTATTTCATGTTGTGTGTTTCTATGCATCCCTTTTTTTAATCGTAGATCAATCGTATTGCTACTGTTAACAATTCTGAAAGACAAATATTTTCAGAGACTATAATCTTGGTATGGTACTCCACATCAACCCACACTTTTTCAGACTTTGATATATTATGTTCCTCTCTCCATTTAAGAAGCAAACCTCTTAAATTTATGGTTTATGCCATTTCACTAATGCCTGCCTTTGCCACACAGTGTTGCTACTACATGGCTGATGAAAAGAAAAAGTAAATTTTTTTTTTAATTGGCAATTGCTTATATTAAGTGTACATTTGAATTTTAGGTAGTCATATCTTAGATGAGACTAGCTAGTAGTGAAGCATGGGAGCGTGTGCAGATTGGATCTTCCATTAAAAAGTCAAGATTCTCAAGGTCAGTTAATATGCAAGTGAACTGTTCTACTTTGGTTCATTGTGTGTAGACTTTGTAGGATTTTAGCTGGATAGAACTGGGTTTTTTATTGAAAGTCTTTGAAGACATTTTCTTGTGGATAGGTGAGGAGTGAAATTAGGAAATTGTTTATAAGCTGAAAGAAAACAATATCAGTATATCAAAATAGTAGTTGCTTTTTAGGCTGGTTGTTATGGGAAAAATACCACAACTAGATTAGTGTGTCACTTGAGCACATCCAAGTATGCTACTGAGACACTTAAAGTACTGTAGTGAAAGAAAGTCAACTTACTGAAGATCAGACACTGTTCCTCAGTCACTGGTAGTGGTTTGACACCAGTGCTCTACTAGCTTACTGAATCATAGAATGTTTAAGGTTGGAAAGGACCTTAAGATCATCCAGTTCCAACCTCACCCTAGACCATGTTGCCCAAGGCTCTGTCCAGCCTGGCCTTGAACAGTGCCAGGGATGGAGCATTTACCACTTCTCTGGGCAACCTGCCCCAGTGCCTCACCACCCTCACAGTAAAGACCTTCTTCCTTATATCTAACCTGAACTTCTCTTGTTTAAGATCGAACCCATTAGTCCTTGTCCTATCACTATAGTCCCTGATGAAAGTCCCTCTCCAGTATCTTTGTAGGCCCCCTTCAGATACTGGAAGGCTGCTCTGAGGACTCCACACAGCCTTCTCTTCTCCAGGCTGAACAGCCCCAACTTTGCTTAGCCTGGCAGTAGCTATGGCATTAAGCTATGGAAAACAAATAAGGAGATGAGGTTAGAGCACCTTTGTGAAATACATCTGTGGGTTGTTGGTGTTGTAGGGTTTTTTGTTTGTGTTTTTGAGACCATTACCACCATCCCTTTGCTGATGATAGAGAACCTGGAGCAAAGAGACTGGGTGGCAGTTACCATTTTTATTGACTAGGAAATCTTCCCATATACTTATACTGTGGATACCAAGACACTGTAGGCCTTATCCAAGATACCTATTGTTGCAAACTGGTAAAAAGATGATTATGGAAATTGAACCACAAAATGCATGAAATAATCCCAAGTGGAAGTTTTATCAGACATACACTTTGTAATTTAAGGATTGTCTGTGTTTACTATATTCTTGTTTATGAGCTGGATAAATCTAGCTAAGTGTGTAGTTTTTATTCATTACTGCTCTCTGTCCTCTGCTAAAGGGGGAAGCCCTCAAGAGAGGGAGGACTGCAGGAAACCGAAGCAGAACAAAAGGGGTTTTTGGAAGCAGTGGTGGAGTTAAAATTTGAACCTCTTTAATTTCACATTAAATAAATAAATGCATGCAGTTTATTGTCACTCATGAAAATGCTGTGAGGGTTTACTGTTTGTTTTTTTTCTTTGGCTTTTTCACTCCTAGGTATGCCTTACATTTTGTTATACAAAGTGGAATTTCCTACTATATCATGATCATAATAGGAGTGGAAAATATGCACAAGTAAGTTTCCATTCTAAAAATTTTTTCTTTGCTTTTACAAGAATGCTACTGTTGAGGGTTTTTTTTGTCATTCTGCACATATGCTGTATTTCTGGTTATATCATTGTATTTCAGTAGCTGAATTATGCTAACCATGGTTTTATTTCCAGGAAACAAAATGGTTTATTTGGGTGTTTTTGCCAGCTCTTTGGAATATCTAAAACTTGTTATAATTGGTAATATCCCACTGAGACTTCTTTTGTGTTCTCAGCATTCTGATATTTTTTTTTTCATTACTTTGATACCTAATTGTAGGTGTCTCACAAATGAGTCAACTGTACAAATACAATCTGACAAGGGCCAGTGCCAGTAGAAGAAAGATGTCTGATGGAAACAAAATTTGAGATTTTTTTTTTTAGGTACTGCTTGTAAAATTACATATGTAGTCCATTATTTTAGTTATGCTTGAATGCATGATTAGATTAACTTCATCTGAATCCGTATAGAATGGCACTTGTTTCTCTTCTTCAATCATTCTTAAAATCAGGAAAGACATTTCTCTTATTACTGTATGCATATGTTTTATTATTCCACTAGTCTAGAGCTTGGAACCAAATTAGGTTCCCACTGTGATAATTCCTGCATAAATGTTTAGTAAAATAGCAAATCCTTGCTTGAATAGGTTCCTGCAGTATGTGAGGCTGCCAGGAAAGATGCTGATAAAAGTACCAGAAAGGAAAATTACTTTACAGAGGAAGTGAAAAACCAGGGTGGCCTTAGTTCATGATCTTGCCTATTAGAACACTCTGCTTCTTTATACTCTGTTACTGAATATAATTTTAGTGTCTTTTGAAATATCCCATACTGGGCTCTTATTTTCAGGATTTTCTACAGAGCCTGAGGTATTCAAACTACTGCAGATGTGAGAACTTCATTGTGTTGTATGGCTGGTTTGTATTCCGATTTCATTAGAAGTTGTTTTAAAGAACTTTTTTGCATCAATTTCTCTTCAGATATGTAACAATACAAGTTACAGCTTATGTAGCTTAACATTTTAAAAGAAATTACCAACGTAGTTAAATGCTGAAAAGGGAGGTACCAGGCAGGAATACTTGGGGTTTTATCATAACAAATTACATAGGTTTCTAAAAGGAAATCTAGCAGTGATTTACTTCCCTAATAGTGAGAGGCAGGTAAGCATGTGTCTTTAATATTCCTGCATTGGAGCAGGGGAACTCTGCAGTTCCTCATCCTCTCATTTCATGCCAGCTGGTTTAACTGCATGGCCTGACTGCATAAATGTTTGCCATACTATGCACAACTGTGTATGTATGTTCTCTGTTACTCTTAGTTACTGTGCAGTTGGGAGAGTAAAACTTAGATTTGACTACTGGGCCTATATTGCTTTGTCACAGTATGAATTAACATACCACGGGATAAAACTAGGAAGCTCTTTCAGTGGAGGAGAATGGAGTAATTTCTTACTTCAGTTTGTGGACAATACTTGGATGCTGTGTGAGGAGTTTCAGAAGCCATTTCTAATAGGTGATACAGGCAAGACTGCACAAGGTTTGCTCCCTCCATTGCCACAGTATCGCGAAAGGGGTGATGCCTCTTGGTATCCCTTTAAGCCTGTATTTTTTACTGAAGGAATGGCTGGATATCATCCTGGGCCGCTGGCTCTTAGTGGCCCTGCTTGAGCATGTGGGTTGGATCAGATGACCTCCAGAGGTCCTTCCCAAGCTCAACTGTTCCATGTCTCTATTTGATTTTGTTGCAGTTACAATTCTTTGTCCTGTACGTATGGTCATATAAGTGAGCCGCTTGAACATGGTTATGTAAAGACATTTGAGTTTGAGTAAATAAACTTTGGTTGTAACTGGTCTAGCCCCTGTGGAGGTGCCTCCTGGTCATCCCTTTCCTTAGGATTTTGGAATTTTAGTCCTCACTAAGTTCCCTTCCCCCTCCTAGCCAAAGCCAGGACAACAATGCCTCGCTCCCCTTCTCCGTTTCTTGCTGTGGCTTTGATAAACAGTGGGGCATTTGCCAAAGGAGGGGTGGAGGAACCTTGATGGTTTGGTCTTCAAAATCCCAAGATTTTGAAGAGACAAGTTATTCTTGTTCATCAGAGTGAACTAATTAATTCAGCATGTTAATCGAGGCACTTAATTTGTCAGTCAGGTGTTTAATAATGCTGAATGTCCTGACATGCTGATAGACAGGTTTGACTGCTATTTAGTCTACAGCTTAGACTGTTGTAAAACTTACGTTAGATATTGTTTGAAAGTTATGTTTTCAGTGAACTACAAAATGGATAAGGCAAACTACTCTCATCCTGAGTTATTGGCAACGTTTTGTAACCATCTTTGCTTCTTCAGAAGTGAGAACATTCATAAGCTGAAATGATTTTTGAAAATGGGAATTAGGCTGGTTTTTTTAACTTTTGCTTTTTCCAAAGGCCCTTGACCAAGGTAAATACAAGTTTGTTGTTTTGGTTCTGGGTTTTTTTTGTTTGTTTGTTTTGTTTTGTGTTTGGTTTTGTTTTTTGTCTTTTTATTGCTGTCTGCTTTTGAGTTGATCACAGGTGTCTTGGTCTATGAAGAACATACATGATGTGGATAAAGATTTTTTTTTTTTTCTTTTCTGTGAGAAAGAGAATTTGAAGCAACAATCTAAAATTAGGCATCCTCAAATCAAAAGACTGAAATAACAATATCTAACAATCTTTAAGGGCTTGGCTAAGAAATGCTATCAATTTCTAATAGTAATTCTTAGCAAATCTAGGATTGGAAGCCTGCCGCTGTAATTACAGTTCTCTGAAGGTGTGAGGGCATCTGGACAACTGTAAGCTGTCTGGTATAACTTCTCAGTTACAAATTTGTAATTTATTTATGTCACTTGAATAAAAATTCCTGGTACAAAGGTAGCTGCCAAAGGACAGTGGGCACAGCACTGAGAATACCTGGATTCAGAATTTGAGGTATTAGTAGCTGTAAACTGTTCTGCATGTGCAAACACAATTTTTCTGCATTTCTGCTATACAGTTAGTGTAAATAAGAAACTTATTTGAAGCTCAGCTAATTGAGATGAAAAATATTAAGGATGTTCTTATTCAGCCAAAGATAAATTCAAGATGGAAGAAGATGAGATCTATTGATTCCGTAGCCTTAACGCAAAGACTGAAAAAAACCTAGTATTCTAGTAGCAATTTTTGTTGTCTTAGCAGTTCTATGTTAAATGCAAAAAAATCCCAACTTAAGATTTTATAAAGTTTTTTATTAGAAAGCATTTTTTTGTGTAGATGAAAATCAGATAGACATTAAACATTATGATTTCTATAATATGCTTAGAAACCTTATCCTCCCCTTTTAAAAATAAGCACTAAGCCTAATGAGTGGTCCTATTTAGGAGCATATTTCAATAGTTATCAACTAACTGTTCCAGTAGCCAAGCTTGGATCTAGGAATGATTTGGAAATACTCAATCTTATGTGAAGAGCCATAGAAATGATTTGGGGAACCAAAACAAAGCGTTGTTAAGAACCTTACTGGGTTCTTATCAAGGAACTGCAAGACAGTGAGCTATTTAAACTGGAGATAAAGATTTAGAGAAATTCTATTTTAGCAGACAAAGCATTACAAAAGATTGAGTTAATAGTACTGAAAGCAAGAATGCTGTTTGCCTTTAGATGGAAACTCTTTTCTGCTATCAGGAATACTACTGTGGCTGTACGCAGAGGGGTGTTTCACCTCTTGTTGAATTGGTTGCTAAGTTGTTGGTCTGAATTTTTTTTGTTTGGTTGGTTTGGTTTTTTTTTTTGTGTGTGGTTTTTTATTTTTTGTTTTGTTTTTGGTTTGGTTTTTTTTTTGGGGGGGTGTGTGTGTTTGTGTTTGATTGGGTTTTTTTAGTAGCAAAGCATATGGTCTGACTGCTAGATGTCCTTCCTGGTTAGATAAAATCTTTGAGGTTTTGCTTGTGTAATGGCAGACTTTTCTTGTCTGTTATCAGAGGTGAACACTTCATCAAGAATGTAGCTTATTTTGTATGCATATGTTAAAGGGGTAAACACAGAGTTAAAATAGAACTATCACACATAAATAAGCAAAGCTCATGATCTGAAATTGGCCCCATGTTTTCATTAAAATTTCTCATGGCTCTTAATTTTGTCCTTAACTGCCAAATTTCTTCTTTATATGGTTAAATCAGATGATCTACTTGAGAAAGTCTTAATTGAGTTGACTGAGCAGTTGAGAGCTCTGCACAACTCAAATTCTTGTAACCTGCTGCTGCTACCTTAGTATTGTGTGGGAATAGGACTTGCATGGGGCATATCCTATAGTTCTTTGAAATTTAATAGCTGCCTCCCACATGCTCTTTGCATCACTTCTACATAAAATTGCTCATCTAAACAACTTACAGTTTAAAACTGACCTACCAAATTTAAAAACAAACCCACAACAACAAACCCCTTTATATCCTTGTGTATTTTTGTGGGGCTTAGAAACTGTGTTTAAGAGTGCTAGAGGTTCTGATTTTCTTTGCTTTTGTTTGTGTTTTTTTTTCCCTTGAGTGTGCTTTATAGAATTATTTATATTCATAATTCATTATATGCTTGATTTTTCTGATGCCTATCTAGAGATCACACTTCTGTGTTCTGGAGAGTGTGAATGGCAACACTGACTGGCACCAGGCACTGATTCTCTGTATGCTGAAGATTTGACAAAAATAGCCATGCAAATAGATGACTGTCTTCAGTGGCTTGAAAAGTGAGCACTTGTTGAAGTAAACACCTTAAACCACGACAGAAGGAATTTCCTAGTAATCTGTATGATTTTCTTTTGAAAGTATTTGTTTTAAATAGATATTTCAAGTTCATCCACTTTGATAAGTTCCTGTAACTCTCCTGGCTGTGCTTGGGTAGAATTTATTGCATTACTTGAAACAATAAAAGTATAAGTTGAAAAATAATTTGATATATTCATCTTTCTTAGAACTGGAATGTTTGAATGGAAAGGACTTTA